AACCAAAGAGCAAACGGCAGATATCCTTACCAAGGGCCTACACCGTCCAGCATTCGAAGACTTGATTGGCAAGTTGGGAATGATCAATATTTACCTCCCAACTTGAGGGGGAGTGCAGAAAATCAGAATCCAAACATGTTTCCGTTTTTATTTCCTATTAATTAGGATTGATTATGATTGATTAGGATTGATTGTGATTGATTAGAATTGATTGTGATTAGGATTGATTAGTCATCGCTCAGTCATTCTTAGCGATTCTTTCTTGTATAAATACTCACTCATGTAAATTATTCAAAATCAATATACAGAAACTTCTTTTCAATAATCATAGCTCAGATTACACTAAGTGATTAAGTCTTTCTTACTCATTTTAACTCATTACATGTTGTTTCTGCAGGAAGTATTCGAATACTCCACGAGTAGTATTTGAATACTCCAGCTTTCCAGAAAGTATTCGATTACTTTCACTTAAGTATTCAAATACTCACCAGTATCCGAATACTTAACCCCCCAGTATCCGAATACCTTAGTATCCGAATACTAAACTTTACTGTATTCCAGTATTCGAATACTCCTTCAAAGGTAACCGAATACTTTGCTTCCCAGAAAAGTATCCCAATACTCCAGCAAGAGTATTCGACTACCTGATGAACAAGTATTCGAATACTACACGAAAGGTATTCGAATACTTCTTCCACAGAATGCAGAAATTCGAGCCAACTTCTGCATAATCCCAAATTTAAGGGTCCAAACGCGATTGGGAGTCCAATGACTCCCTAAACAGATATAATCCAACATGTTATGAACCCAGAAACACATTCCTTTATTCAAATGGTTAAAGTTTCCCTTTTTAATTGATTAAACAAGCTTAAACCCTCAAAAAGAACATAGGATGATCATGAATACCTCCAAGAGGTTTAAACTCAGAAAAGACTCCTCCTTGGAGCTCCCAACACAGCCCCACAGCACTGCACACAAAGGTACACGAATTGACACCTCAAGCTAGTGTCTTTCTCCACAAAGCACACAACTTGGAGCACAAGAATGCCACTACGAAGTGACTAACCCCTCAAACTCAGAAAACAGCCCTCAACACAGCCAAACAGTGGCCAAACTCAGAACAATAGCCCCCCACTCAACCCCAAAGGTGACTCACACACACCCAAGTGTTTAGAAGAAGAGAAATGGAAGAGGAAGCTTCAAAGTTCACCAAATGGAGCACAAGGCAATGGAACAGTAGCAAGGGACTCACCAGCCGCCTAAGTCACGTAGGAAAATAAGGGTCTAGGGCTTTGTGCCCAATAATAAGGGTATATATAGCCACATACCCACTTAACACACAGTATAAGCAGAAATAGCTACGCTTATCATTTTAATCCCAAACTTAGGATTCTTAACCTACTCAATTTACAAGAATTAACATATTTTTCTTATATTTTTCCGAGCACCTTTCCTGTACGCGCTTTTCAAAGTCAGTACCGGTTTCTAGCACCAGATCTCATTATTTGGACTTGAAACTCGTTTTACAAGTCCTACATATTATTCTAGTAATTATCAGGCACTTATTATAATTTTCCGGGATACTTTTTCGGTACACATTTATACCGACTAGCAGAACCGGTATCTGCACTTTTCTTCCGAAAAATGACTTTCAGCATTCTTAATCACTTACTATAATTATTAAAGCCTCGTAATAATTATTAGGGTCAATTATGGAATCATTTCCTATTTTCTCATAATTTATTAATTAAATTCCTTAATTAACGGTGCGGGTTCTTACACAAACCCATTTCATTTTACCTCTCAATTCATGTATAGCAAGAATTTAAGGAGGAGGATTTTGGGGGAGAGAAGATACGAGTGAGATTTGGTAATTTTTTTATGCATGCCTTAGTGAGCTATCAATATCGTAATTTGTATTAAAAACTAATACCCTTAGGATAACTACTGATAATATAATGTAGCTAATTTTAAACAACTATGAAAAGGATAAACTATTTTTATAACTGTGGGCCCTCTTGGAAAGACTTTTTATGCCTTGCTTATTTTAGGACTTTTTTCAAAAACTAAAGCTATTTTGCATTTGGGTGTAGTATTTGAAAAACACTTTTAACTAAATATATTATTTGAATGTTAAATTAAAAAGCATTTTTTATGTATAAAATTACTAAAATAGACATATTACTAAAATGGACATGTGAAAACAAATCAAGGGAGCAAATTTGGAAGTGGTGGTGGTGGGTTGTGGTGGTATGTGTGGTGGTTGGGTGGTAGTGATAGAGGTGGATGTGATGGCAGCGACAACGATGTAATTGTCGTGGTGGTGGCGGCGACGACGACAATAATGGTATGTGTGGTGGCGGGGTGGTAGTGACGGGTGGATGTAGTGGTAGCAATGATGATGTGGTAATAATGGTAGGTGTGGTGGTGATAGCGGCGGAGGTGACATTGGTTGAGGTTGGGGTTGAGGTTGTGGCAGCAGGGGCAATGGTGGAAGAGGAGGTGGTGGGGATGACGGTGGGGGAAGATAGATTGGTCGGGGTAAATTTGGATTTTGAAAAAAATAATTAGTCTTTGACTTCTGTTTTTTTTTTGAAGCCATAAATTTTAGCTTCAAGAAAAGAACAGGTTTTTGGCTCTCTTTTTTTAACTTCTTTTTTTAAAAGTAAATATCCAAACATTTGTTTGTAACCAGAAGGACTTCTTTTTTTAAAAAAAGAAACAGCTTTTAGAGAAAAAAAACTCATCCATAAAGGCTTTAACTAGGATATGGATAAATTTGTGACACAACATTCCCTTCCTCAGGAAGACACGACTTGTCCTCAAATTGAGACGTGGCCTGAGTATGGGTCCGGTGCTACAGGCTCGTGTTGCAAAGACCCTCCAAATATAAAAGGGTTGGGCAGCTTTTGCATCAATTCCCGTTGACAAATTTCTCGTCGCCAGTGAAGGATAGTCCTTTTGCAACTATGGATAAGACAATGTAACTAATTTTAAACAACTAAAGTAAAGATAAACTAATCTATTAACTAACAATTTGGATAAGAATAAACTTCTGTACGACATAATGTCTGCCTTGCACTTTCTATCGTTCCCTCTTATATTTCCATTTCTCCCCAACTGAATTCCCACCTCTCACTATTCGTTACCGGCTCTGCATTTGGTTAGGCTTTAAATTTATTCCTATTCTGTCCTCGTTAGCCTTGTGTGTTTACTGTTTATCCTTTTACTTCACATCCCCTTCCTTGATGCATACAACTCAACAATAGGGGTCTATCATTATCATTTCATACCAAGTAAATCAGATATGATTGGGTGCCATTACGATTTACTAAAATATGAAGATGCTATCTTAGCATGTCATAACATTGAGCCTTAGATTATGAATTTAACTTGCGTATCCTATTGGTTTCTGCAATTGGCATTACAGCATCTTTATTTTTTTTATGTAGTAGGCAAATGTAAGGGTTTCACGGAATTTAATTTTGGAGTTGATGTATGGTGGATAGTGTTCATTATCCTTGCTAACGCTTTTTCCTATTTGTCAGTGTAGTTAGTTAAGTAACTTCCTACTTCAATTTGACCAGATATCCTTATGGGACCGTTTGGTAGAAGGAAAATTTTAAATTCTCAGGAAATTCACATTGGGAATCCTAGTTACCATGTTTGGTACAAGGATTTTTAAATTTTTCTGGGAAAATGAGATTCTTGGGAATTAATATTGTGAATAAGAATCTTATGAAGGTAGATGGTATTCTTGGATTCTCACCTGATGGAAATTTTTTACATAATTTATAGGACATAAATAACTCTGCTTTAATATTTTTATGACTAAAATACTTTCTCTTGTTAAAACCTTAGCCGTAATACTCTGCTTTACAAAATCGTGGGTTCCTCTTTTCTTTTTTACGATGCTTGTATTGGGTTCCTCTTTGCTTTACACCGCTGCGCTCCGGTGACCTTTTTGTGACATATTAGAATTTTTTTCAAAAATTAATCAAATATTAGTTTTGTAAAATCAGCTCACATTTCCATGAATCACTGACAATCAACCAAACATAGAATCACGAAACTTGAGTTAATATTCTTCGGAATATTTTGGCTTACCAAATAGCTTTTTGGTAATATTTTTGGGAAATTCACTTTCCCAGCATATTCCCAAGAATCGTGATTTTCCAGAATAAATAAATTTCTCCTCTGCGAAAGGGCTGTGGGCTGTGTATATGACTCACAAGATGTCATTTAAATTACTTGTATTAATAGGAAATGTGAATTCTTTGTTGAGTTTATATAGTTTGCTCCCTGCAAGTCTGAAATAAATTATGGAGTAAAGTCTCTTTTGGGTCCCTAACAAAAATCATGGTCTCCACTTTCGTCCCTTACAAAAAAAAAAGTCAATTTTTGATCCCTTTACAATTTCAGTTTTTTGAAAATGTGATCTCTCAAAAATTCAATTTAGTCCCTAAAAAAGGACTAAAATTGATATATATTTTTTGTAAGGAATGAAAGTGGAAACTTTATTTTTTGTTAGGGACCAAAAGAGACTTTACTCTAAATTATAAATGGTTTATTTTGCAGTCGAGGGGCATGCCATTATGCTTGCGAACGCTTTTTCCTATTTGTTAGTGGAGTTAAGTACTTCAATTTCATCAGATATCCTTTAACAGGAATATAAAAACATGCCATTATAAGAATGACACATGTTACAGATTATGTTATGTCAATCCCATCCCTGCTTTTTTGTAGCAAGTCTGTTTTGGTTTATAAAATGATTGAATTTATAAACTGGATATAGAATTTCATTGTACAAACTGAATATTGAAGTGGAATTTGTTGTAATTGACTACCTTTTTTTTTTTGGGAAGGATGGGGTGGCTGTGTATACTAACAAGATGTCATTTAAATTACTTGTATTAATAGGAAATGTGAATTCTTCGTTGAGTTTCTGTAGTTAACTTCCCACAAGTCTGAAATAAATTATAAATGGTTTATTTTTGCAGTTGAGGGGCATGCCATTCATATTTGAGATAAGTCAAAGTCGTGTGGAACAGTACCTGGATCATATTACTGACAACTCGCAGACCTTTTAATGTCAATTGTAAATGATAGCAAGAGGCCCACTAACACAGAAGGTGCTTATTTTTACTGCACTTTTCTGATTTTTGGTAAGGAGTGACTGCTGTTGTATGTCAGCCTTTAGTGGTGGACTTGTGTTTCCCTGGAATGGACTTCTTGCCCACGAAAGTAGATAATTCTTCAACCCAAAATTTTTGTAATATGGCTAACTATCCCAACCTTGAAAATCTTGTTGTCAAGCCATTGACGAATCTGAATCTCATTACTGCCCTGCATGTTGCAAGTTAAGGATGAATACTCTTTGAAACAGCGTTCTGTTTATTTATTGATTTATCTTTAAGCACTTTAGCCCTTTATTGACTTCGGAAGTGAAAACAACGATCTGATCTGGTAGTTGAAAAATACTGCTTTGGATTTGAGATTGGGTAGTTTTGCCACAAGTAATTAAATTACCATTACAATAATTATGTCTCAATTTTCAAATCTTTTACAAATCGTGGAGAAATCCTTCTACAGGTGGAGGAACTTTTTTTTTGTTTTCTTCTAAAAAGACTCATTTCTGAGTGTAATCTAATAGTTATGTTGTACCAACTCCGACACGGCACTCTTACACGTTAATTTTAAAAAATATTAGATTTTCATATGTTAGGACATATTTTGTTATTAAATAATATTTTTAATTTATGTAGTGTATATTATATTTAATATTTAATAATTTAACAAAAAAATGAAGCTAAATTTATAATATCCAACAATTTTTACAAAGAAATATAAGATATTTCAAGTATTTATATTAAATTCAATAAAATAGTAATCAAAATTCACCAAATCTAATAGTTAGAATTAAAAATGCAACGTAGCGTAATTTTTGAATTCTTTTTTGAGTCTCCAGTATTGTAGTGTCGGTGAGTGTCAGACACAGTACGTCAGATTTTTTGAAGTGTCGGTGCATAATAGTCTAACAATCGTGTAATCTTTATATTTCTTTATTGGTTCTCTGCTTTAACTACTATTTCATTCTGAAATTCATACTAAACTCTGATCTTTTTCTCCATTTGGAATTAAACTATCCACTAATTGTCTTTCAAGGCATGTTTGGTATGATATATAAGGTCTGATAATATAAACTTATATTATACATTATGACATTTTTAGTTATTTAGTGTGACCATCGTATAGTATAATCTTATACAGCATAACTTCTGACTATATCAAAATGATGTATAACTTAATCAGACCTAAGGGCTTGTTTGGTGTATAGGATAGGATAATACATGATAGTATAAAATCTGATAGTATAAGACCTGATTGTATTAGTTCTGATTAAATTTTAATACTATTCAATATTTGGTATGATATTGTATAAGATAATGTATTGTATAAGATAATACTATCTACTATTTGTTAATGCATTTTATAATAATAGATAGGATAAAAATAAATATTTTTGACAATTTTTTTTTTTTTTTTTTAATTAAACGACACAATACATACAAGGAGAAATTGGACGACGAAACGAAAAATATTGTAGGAATCAAATTCAAATTTCAAATTGAAGTTTTACTTTAATTTTGAAGTGCATATTGGTTGTATATTTTTAATTTTTAATTAAAATTGTTTTCATGAAATTAGGTGCAAAAGCTTCAATCATCGCCATCTATGGCAGCCATTGATTAATTTTTCGTTTGCATTCTATTCTATATTATATACACAGACAAGAACGAACCGAAGAAGCGAAGCATGTCAAAAGTCTAGATCCACAATCTTCAATCGGAAGCTCTTGTGGAGGCTGCAGCGGAAAAAGCAGCCATGGTGCGTTGAGGGCGAGCAAAGGCAGGTTCACTTCTATCTGCGTGTGACCACCTCGCCGGTGTCGGTGCTGGCGACAGAGATGGAACGGTTCAGGGAAAGGGAGGTGGGTTTGTGGTGTCTCTGGTGAAAGAAATGCTTGAACAAAAAATAATGAAGGAAGGGGAGGGAGAAGAAAGGGGAACTGAATAATTACCCAAATACATTAATCTTTTATTAGGCCTAATTTCACCCTTCAAGACTTAATTAAATTATTCATAATTTTAATGTATTAAGAGATTCTACTGTATAACAACCTTGTCCTATACAATGATCACACCAACAAAGGGTGTCAAATTAGGCTTGATAAAAGGTTGATGTATTAACATTGCTGACCAATACAATTATAAAAAATTAATATATTATTTCAATATATAATATTAAAATAAAAATTTATTTTTAATATATTAATTTTTAAAATATTGGAGATTTTTTTATTATAAAAATCAATATATTTTTTGGACATGCTAATCAATAAATTTTTATAAAAATTAATATCAAATGACATATTCGAAAAAAATTATAATATCTTTATTAAAGGGTATTTTTGTTAATAATATTTATTTATATCCTATTTAGTATTATACAGTGCATTATAAAATACTGTATAATATTATTCTATATAATACATTATCTTATACAATATTATATTAATCGCTGGATAGTATTAAAATTTAATCAAATTTTGTACCATCAAACTTTATACTATTAAATTTTATATTATTAAACTTTATCATATATTGTAAACCAAAGATGCTCTTAGTAAAAAATTACTTAAATATCCATTTTTTTTAACCCGTTGGCCTCCGTGGGTGGTGCGAAGTTATGGTTGGTTGTTGTTCATTCAACATAGTATACAAAAATGTTCCATGTGTTCAATCAATACTGTAGGAGTGTGCATGGAGCGGTTCATAATCGATTTTAATAAAAAGCGAACTGAACCAATTTTAAACGGTTTGATTTTCAAATCGAATCGGTTTTTTATTTATTTTTAAACTGATTTTTAATTTTCTAAATCGGTTTGAAACCGGTTCCAAAATCGATTTATGGTTTGTAACCGGTTTTGATTTAAAATCGATTTTAAACGGGTTTTAATTTAGAACCGATTTTAAATGAAAACCGGTTATGAACCATAAACCGATTATCAAGTTCAAAATTAATTTTTTAACAAATTCAAAATCGGTTTTTGTTGAATTGTGCTATTTTTATAAGTAGTCGTTTGTTTCTCCCGTTATAAGTAGCTGAACAACTATTTCTTGCAAGAATCTTCATTGTTTTGGAACTCTCTAAATGAAATGATTTTTATAGAAATTGTTTTACGTTGTTTTGAGAGTGGTTGATAGAAGAACAGTTGAATTATTTTAAAATTATTAAAAAAAAATTGCCAGTTTATTTTAAATAAACCCCTGCGTCTTTCTCATCTTCTCACCAAATAGTATTCCGTTTAGTAAAGTTTATAGTTACGTTATTCAAAGGGTCGTTGTGCACAACAGGGCTAGTGAGTGAAAGCCCAAGCCATATAAAAAGCCCAATAAGCCCATTTGATCATTTTGTAGTGTTGAGACTTGAGAATCTGCACTCTCACTCTGCAACAAACCAAAAACAATGGCTTCCAATTCCAAATCGGGGACGTTTCTGGAACGTTACGGTTATGATTCTCTGTTGGCATTAGCTGCTTTCTATGTATTCATGGTGCCTTGCAATGGACATGATAAAAGATAATAATTATTTAATCTTTAATTGCAGAGGAGTTTGGTTATAATCATGAATAATCAATTATTTTTATGGTTTGATAAATAACCAGTTTATAAAATAAAATTTAATTTTGTATGAAACCTGTTTTTAAAAATAATCCGTTTTTAAAATGTAGAACAATTTAGTTATGGATTAATTTAATTCTTTTGATATTTTGCACACCCCTACACTGCAGTGAGTATCTCAAATTTTGTTGCCTATTTCCAAGATATTTGCACCCATTTCTCCTCTCCCGCACCTTCTCTTGGAAAATAATTTTAACATTTCTCAAGACAATTGAAAAAATAAATAACCCATCTGATTATTTTTCTCTCCCATACCTCCTTTTTGTCCCTAAAAAAAAAAGAAAGTAAATGTTGCTAGGAAACTCTCAAGCTACCAAACGCCCAACATTTTCGTTTAATAATTTTAACTGGGATTGTTTTTATTTATAATATAATTTTTATAGAGGGTTTTTTTTTTTTCAGAATTCACTATTTTAAATTAAAAAAAAATCTTAGATTTTTATCTTTTTAAAAGTTATCTAACTATTATGAAATTTTAATTTAAAATAAAAATAAAAAGTACTTTTTTATTTTAAAAAACAGATACACACAACTGACTGTTTTTGTATTCAGATTTGTAAGTCAAAGTTTAAAAAAAAAATATTATATAAGAGGAAGGTTATACTTACAACTTTTTTTTACAACCTCTTACAACCATATCTTAATACCGTTGATTTTTGTCAATCAACGGTTATCATTTATTGTGAATTAATAATTAATTAATGAGTTTAATTTGTGAAAATCATAACCGTTGATTGACAGAAATCAACGGTATTAAAATATGATTGTAAGAGGTTATAAAAAAAAATTATAAATATAACTTTCGTCGTTATATAGAGAGTGCTGTAAAAGTGCTTGGTTGCACTCCCCAAAAAATATTTAACTGCTGTCAGAATCAGGCTGGTTAACAAAAGTACCCAACCTACTTAACTCAACCCATACCTACCCCTAGTATCATTAGGGAGCGTTTGGTAAAGAATAAATTTTTTTTTATCCGAAAATCTTGATTTTCAAAAATATAATTGTTATATTCAGTTTACGATAATATTCACAAATTAAAAATTTTAAAAAATTTAATTTTCTGACAATCCCATAAAATGACACGTACTAAACACCCCTTAGGGGCTGTTTGGTACATGAGAAAATTTTGTTTGTCCAGGAATCTCGATTTTCAAAAAATATGATTTTTGCATTCAGCTTATGATAATATTTGAAAATTTAAAATTTAAAAAAATTCAATTTCCTAAGAATCCCTCAAAATCCGGCGTACCAAACACCCCCTTAATGTTTAACTATCTTTGGAATATATATTATATATTAGGGAGCGTTGAATGAAAGTAACTCTCTATTCTTAGTAAAATTTTATAATAATCGACCAAATTTCAGTCTACAACTAGCCTCTTTCTGACGCTATCCATCCCTAAGTAGTACTGCATGGTACACAGACCTAGAAAACAGAAACTGAATAGTTAAAAAACATATTTTTACATTTTAATTTTTTAAAAGTCACCTTTAACTTTTTAAAATTGACCTTTTAACTTGTTAAATTAGCATAATATTTTTTTGAGAGATTATTTTTATTAACCCTACGTCCCTACCAATAAAATAAGAGTTTGA